TTGTAGCCAGCTGGTAGCGATGAATCCGGAGTTAAAGGTCCAGTGATTCAGTGATTCCGGCGGAAAAACTGATATGATCTGGGTCGATAACGCGCTGTGCAGACTGGCCGAATATCCGGTGATCAATGTCCAATGATTAAAATTAATCCCGCGGAAAAAAATCAAATGTTTTGGGTGAAACACCGCTAGCTGTGGCTAATAGCAAGTAGCTAGTTAGCTGGCTAGCTAGTTTCAACTGGAGATTCTAGATTCTAGATAAAGGTAAGTCAAAAATAGAATCCGTTCCACATTGAGTGAGGCGGGTTGCAGGAAAGTATATTTTGTAGAAGGATGAAAAGTCTGATAGGGAAATATGTACGAAAAATACAAAAAAACAGGGTATTTACAGGCTATTTACAGACACACGACAGAAACAGGACTGCACTACTTCGCCATCTTGGAATTTGAGTCTTACCCTGTTTGTAATTTGCAGTGTGTTCTTGCTCTGATGACTGTCAGAAATGTCCTTACACACACACAAACAAACAGAAACACACTATCGGATGTCCATTTACTTCCTTTACCAGTCTCATGGCCTTTGGGGGCAGATTTTACTACAGAGCCACTCAGTGCTTCACTCCCACTTCTGTAATCCAGTTTTGCATCCTATTAAGGTTTTATGGTCCTCCGGCCCAGCTTGAGCTCTTAGAATTACTTTATAAAGATGGAAAGAGGGGATAGGCTGTTAGCCTATGTATCAGACACACACACACACACACACACACACACACACAGAGAGAGAGAACATGGAGTGATATTTTGCCTCCACACTCTGCCTTTAGTACTATTGGCTGTCAGTCAGTTGCAAAAGCGTCTCCGGACTTTGGCAAGAGACATTTCCTCCCTAGCAATTTTGTTCCATCTTTGTCAAGCTGAATGGGTGAACTCGGATTGAACGGCAGCCATTTTGTTCCATCATCTTTGGAAAGCTGAAAACAGAGGACAAGTTGAAGCGAGAGGTTTTACTCTGCCCTGTTAGGCCTACTGCTGCTAGGTAGCTCTCTCTCTGCTCTCCCCCTCCCCTCTGTCTGTCCTTGATTGCAGGTGCTTCAACAAAGTACTTGTCACGCTCGTTGAAGGACAGGTCGGACCAAGGCGCAGCGTGATATGCATACATGTTTATTTAAACTTAACACTCGACAAAACAATAAACGAAACGTGACGTCGGAAGGCTATACACACAAACCAAACTCACCGAGCACAAAACAAGATCCCACAACACAGGCAGGAAAACTGGCTGCCTAAGTATGATCCCCAATCAGAGACAACGAGCGACAGCTGCCCCCCCCCCACCCCCCCAAAGGTGCGGACTCCGGCCGCACAAACCTGACTTAACAGGGGAGGGTCCGGGTGGGCTTCCAGCCCTTGGTGGCGGAAGCCCACCCCTCCAGCCTCCGGCTCCGGGCTTGCCGTCTCCTCCCTTACTGACTCCGCGTTGCACCCCTGGACCGGTCTGGACCTCAACGCGGAGCTTCCCCTCTCAGTCCTCCCACGATGCACCGATCCCTGTCTGGACTCTGGTGTGGGAGACTCCGAACCTAGAGAGGGGCTAACGTCTGGACCCGGAGTGGAGACGCTGACCGGAGTCTCCCCGGATCCCGGTGGAGCGGACTGCTCTGGCTCCGGAGTGGAGCTGCTGACCGGAGCTGGACTGGGCACCGGTGGAGCGGACCGCTCCGGCTCCGGAGTGGAGCAACCGACCGGAGCTGGATCAGGCACCGGTGGAGCGGACTGCTCTGGCTCCGGAGTGGAACCGTTGACCGGAGCTGGACTAGGCACCGGTGGAGCGGACTGCTCTGGCTCCGGAGTGGAACCGTTGACCGGAGCTGGACTAGGCACCGGTGGAGCGGACTGCTCTGGCTCCGGAGTGGACCAGGCACCGGTGGAACGGGCACGGCCGTGCCGGACTGGAAACACGCACCACTGGTCTGGTGCGAGGAGCAGGATCGGGCCGGGCCGGACTGGTAACACGCACCACTGGCTTGGTGCGGGGAGCAGGTACGGGGCGTACCGGGCTGGCGACACGCACCACTGGTTTGGTGCGAGGAGCAGGCACGGGCCGGACCGGACTGGGAACACGCACCACTGGCTTGGTGCGGGGAGCAGGTACGGGGCGTACCGGACTGGGAACCGGCGCTGGAGGTCTACGACTGTCTCCGTCCTTTACACTCCGCGCCCCGTCCTCCTCCAGTGAGGACTCCTCTTTGAGCCCCCACGAGTGCAGTGGTCGGGGCTCCTCTCTGTCGCTCCCCGACCACCCTTTTAGCTCCCCCAAAAAAAATATTGGGGCTGTCTCTCCTTCTCCACCCTGATCCCTTTCAGGGCCTCCATCTGCTTGGCCAGATCCTCTCTTATTTCCTTCCAAGTCCATACTCTCCTCCTGGGCACGCTGCTTGGTCCATTGGTGGTGGGATCTTCTGTCACGCTTGTTGAAGGACAGGTCGGACCAAGGCGCAGTGTGATATGCATACATGTTTATTTAAACTTAATAAACTTAACACTCGACAAAACAATAAACGAAACATGACGTCGGAAGGCCATACACACAAGCCAAACTCACCGAGCACAAAACAAGATCCCACAACACAGGCAGGAAAACTGGCTGCCTAAGTATGATCCCCAATCAGAGACAACGAGCGACAGCTGCCTCTGATTGGGAACCACACCCGGCCAAACATAGAAATACAAACAGAATCAACACACACATGATATTCACACCCTGACCAAACTAACTAGAGTTCTATAGGTCAGGGCGTGACAGTACTGAATAAAGGGTCTGAATACTTACACTACCGGTCAAATGTTTTAGGACACCTGCTCATTCAAGGGTATTTCTTTATTTTTACTATTGTCTACATTGTAGATTAATAGTGAAGACATCAAAACTATGAAATAAGACATATGGAATCATGTAGTAACCTAAAAAGTGTTAAACAAATCAAAATATATTTTATATTTGAGATTCTTCAAATAGCCACCCTTTGCCTCGATGACAGCTTTGCACACTCTTGGCATTCTCTCAACCAGCTTCATGAGGTAGTTACCTGGAATGTATTTCAATTAATAGATGTGCCTTCTTAAAAGTTAATTTGTGGAATTTCTTTCCTTCTTAATGCGTTTGAGCCAATCAGTTGTGTTGGGACAAGGTAGGGGGGGGGGGGGGGGGTATACAGAAGATAGCCCTATTTGGTAAAAGACCAAGTCCATATTATGGCAAGAACAGCTCAAATAAGCAAAGAGAAACGACAGTCCATCATTACTTTAAGACATGAAGGTCAGTCAATACGGAACATTTTAAGAACTATCAAGCGCTATGATGAAACTGGCTCTCATGAGGACCGCCATAGGAATGGAAGACCCAAAGTTACCTCTGCTGCAGAGGATAAGTTCATTAGAGTTACCAGCCTCAGAAATTGCAGCCCAAATAAATGCTTCACAGAGTTCAAGTAACATACATCTCAACATCAACTGTTCAGAGGAGACTGTGTGAATCATGCCTTCATGGTCGAATTGCTGCAAAGAAACCACTACTAAAGGACACCAATAAGAAGAAGAGACTTGCTTGGGCCAAGAAACACGAGCAATGGACATTAGACCGGTGGAAATGTGTCCTTTGGTCTGGAGTCCAAATTTGAGATTTTTGGTTCCAACCGCCGTGTCTCTGTGATCCGCATGTGTATTTCCCACCGTAAAGCATGGAGGAGGAGGTGTTATGGTGTGGGGGTGCTTTGCTGGTGACACTGTCTGTGATTTATTTAGAATTCAAGGCACACTTAACTAGCATGGCTACCACAGCATTCTGCAGCGATACGCCATCCCATCTGGTTTGGGCTTAGAGGGACTATCATTTGTTTTTCAACAGGACAATGACCCAACACACCTCCAGGCTGTGTAAGGGCTATTTTACCAAGAAGGAGAGTGATGGAGTGCTGCATCAGCCACCCTTTGCCTTGATGACAGCTTTGCACACTCGTGGCATTTTCTCATCCAGCTTCACCTGGAATGCTTCTCCCACATATGCTGAGCACTTGTTGGCTGCTTTACCTTCACTTTGCGGTCCGACTTTAGAGGAACACACAGAGGAATGAGCCCCAACCTTTAGAGAAACACACAGAACGCAGAGTCCTATAAGCCCAGCAGTCTAGGGAGTTCTGAATGTGCGAGACAGTTATTGCTTAACAGGCTCCTTTTTATGTGACTAGTCCCCTTTGTGTTTTAATGAGCAGCTAGCAGAGAGGGTGAAAAAAAAAGGGAGGCTGGAGGAGGAAGAGGAGGAGGGAGAAAGAAAAATTGAGAGAGGCAGTGAGAGAAGGCTTTTCAGAGCTTCTCTTCAGTCCTAATTGTACTTGTGAGTGTGGGGCGCGAGGGGTCCCCCTTGAAGTGGGAGGAATAATTGGCAGGTAGGATTCCTCTCTCTCTCTTTCTTCCTCTCTCTTTCTCTTTCTCTCACACACTCCTCTCAGGTGGAGTGCCTATCTCTTTCGGTCTCTAGTGTGAGGTCAATGTGTTCCCACAATATCTCTATTTGCATGTCCTGAATTACAAATCACTCCTCACTACAGCAAATACTGAAACTCTCTCTTCTGCCAAGACAGAGAGGGATGCTTGCATACTGTGTGTGTGTGTGCATGTGTGTGTGTGTACAAGCCTGTGCATGTGTGCATCTTGTGTGTGTTAAAGAACAAGTATCTAAATGTATTTTTTGCTAATTCAATTTTTGTAAGTCCTTAATTTCACCTCAGGTCATTCCACATAATTTGCCTAAAACCAGCTAGCAAGTTCTCAGTGTCTCTCTTTCTCTGTGAGTGTCATGGCGTTCAATCTGTGTTCAATCAGAGAGAGAGAGAGAGAGAGAGAGAGGTAGAGAGAGAGAGGTAGAGAGAGAGAGAGAGAGAGAGAGAGAGAGAGAGAGAGAGAGAGAGAGAGAGAGAGAGAGAGAGAGATGTCACATTGTGTCAGAAATGTCACACAAATGTCAGAAACATCACATTAACCGCGGCATCAGCTTTAGCGTGGCCTGGTGGAATGTATTTCTGTATCACTGTCTCTCAGAGACAGTCCTGCTGCTGTGACAACAAATGTCAATGTTTAACATCCCCTTCCCCTCAGTCCTAACACCTAGGGGAGGAGAGGAGTGGCTACCTAGCTAGGATTTGTATTTGTATACTGCAATTCAGCTTCTAGCTGTGTACATTAAATAAAATAAACTTAATCTCCCTGTCCGGTCCACAGTGAACTCGGGGGACGGCATTGACTACAGCTAGCAGAAGAGGGAGAACATCGGAGACCTGATCCAGGAGACCCTGGAGGTGTTTGAGCGCTACGGGGGCGAGGACGCCTTCATCAACATTAAATACATGGTGCCCACCTACGAGTCCTGCATGCTCAACTGAGTGGAGGGACACAGTTGCAACCACCCAACATCATTAACTCACCCTCAACCCTTCAACCACCCAACATTATTAACTCCCCCTCAACCCTTCAACCACCCAACATCATGAACTCAGCCAACATCATTAACTCACCCTCAGCCGTTCAACCACCCAACATCATTAACTCACCCTGAACCCTTCAACCACCCAACATCATTAACTCACCCCCAACCCTTCAACATCATTAACTCACCCTTCAATCACCCCAAATCACTAACTCACCCCCAAACCTTCAACCACCCAAAATCACTAACTCACCCCCAACCCTTCAACCACCCAACATCCCTAACTCACCCCCAACCCTTCAACCACCCAACATCACTAACTCACCCCCAACCGTTTTTCCCCCCTCCACAACTCACCCCAACTTGAGCCAACCCCTCTCTACACTACCTTTGTGACCCATTAAATTCCTAACTGCAAGTTATAATTATTTTTCAACTGTGTGTGATTTGGTCATGTATATTTCTACCACTACACGTCACACACTTCTCTTGTCAACGAGGTTGACTAAATGACGCTCACTCTCTCTCATTAAAAGCAATATTGTCAGGTCCATCTTCCAATTTTTTCTACATTTCTATTTGTCCCAGGTGTAGGCAGGAGGCAGTCGCAGGATTAGAACTACTGAATTTATTTAAGCACCATAGATCAAAGCGGGATGAAACCCAAATGCTGTTGTGCTCAAAATATTCATTTTGCAGCTGGACCCTATGAGATAATTCTCAATTTAAAATTAGTTTTGATCAAATGATGACCATATATCCTTGAAATTCAAATTGAGACCTCGAAGCCAGTTCCACTGCATTTTATTTAATTTTAATTCTTCCCTCTAATCAGGGATTTAGACCTGGCACACCAGGTTGGTGCAATTAATTATCAGGTAGAACAGAAAACCAGCAGTAGTCCGGACCTCGTAGGGTAAGATTTAAACATCCCTGCCATATATCATAGCAACAGGTAATGTACTGGTAATAACAGTATTATTGTGTAGTAGGCAAGACTGTCTTCCACTACTGCTGCTCCTGGGCTGGAGCGTGCCCGAGCATGCTGGGAAATGCCCGGTGGAATGAGGGCCAGCAGCATTCCAGCATGCTGCTCACTTGTTGCCACAGAGCTCCCGGTAACCTGCTCTCTTGCCTTTGAACCGTATGCCAAACACACAGTGTGTGTGTGTGCGTGTGTGCGTGTGTGTGTGTGTGTGTGTGTGTGCGTGTGTGTGTGTGTGTGTGTGCGTGCGTGCGTGTGTGTGTGTGTGTGTGCGTGTGTGTGTGTGTGTGTGTGCGTGCGTGCGAACCTGTGCATGTTGTTTACCTCGAGCACACACCCCAGTGACCTGGTAGGGAAGCAACACAAGTCCCTCTAAGATACAATAACACTTCTGACACCAACCCTCTCACACCAACCCTCTCTCACCAACCCTCTCTCACCAACCCTCTCTCACCAATTCTTTCTCACTAACCCTCTCACACCTACTCTCTCTCACCAACCTTCTCTCACCAACCTTCTCTCACCAACCCTCACACCAACCCTCTCTCACCAACCCTCTCTCACCAACCCTCTCTCACCAACCTTCTCACACCAACCTCTCACACCAATCCCTCTCACACCAACCCTCTCACACCAACCCTCTCACACCAACCCTCTCACACCAACCCTCTCACCAACATTGTGTCTCCTCAGTCCTCTTAGGCTTGCCTTGTTGGAGTCTAGAATACAGTAGTTAATTAGATTCTCACTCAGAGCTTAAAGACACAATAAGAGCATCTCCCAGGCAACAATGGCTGAATTAGTCCGACTGCTGCTCACATCACGGCGACCCAGCGGAGAAAGACACTCTAATTGATTTCTGACACTCCCAAGGACATTTGCCCAGCTCTCATTGAAACGAACATCTCCTACAAAAGCATATTTACAGCTGCACAGAGAAAGTAGGTTTTCGTCAAGAGGCAACTTCATAACTTTGCATTACTCATATGTTTAGATGCTTTGTATGTGTCTGCCAAATGTGTATATGTTGTTGATGCTTATACAGTACTGTATGTCTCTATTATTTTATGCTTTAAAATATCCCTCCCCATAACAGAACATTCTCTCCACTACTCCATGGCTGAATCAATTCCTGCAGCTCAGTGCTACAACTTCCTATTGCTCATAGGTTTGGATGCTTTATACTGTATGTTGCTCTCTATTATCGTAGGCATAGAAATATCATTTTCCAGCTCCATTCCCTCCTCTCCATGACTGGATCAATGCACTATGTACCCTTCAGCATCATGATTTGAGTCTATCCATGACTTCTGTCCAGTTTCACACTGAGAGACACGAATCAGACAGACACCACTGAGAGACAGAACCACTGAGAGACAGACGACAGCCCTGAGAGCAGACATGACTACACCACTGTCCAGTTTCACAACCAAGACTGAGAGACACAGACAACATACCCAACAGACGAGATCAACAGCACTATGAACAGACCTTCAGACAGCTATGACAACTATGAGAGACACCCATGACGATCACACTTCCGAGTAACAACATGACAGACACCATGAAGCAGACAGACAACCACTGAGAGACAGACAGCACCACTGAGAGACAGACAGACACCACTGAGAGACAGACAGACAGCAACAGAGACAGACAACAACCACTGAGAGACAGACAGACAACCACTGAGAGACAGACAGCCACTGAGAGACAGACAGACAGCCACTGAGAGACAGACAGACAGCAACTGAGAGACAGACATACAACCACTGAGAGACAGACAGACAGACAACTACTGAGAGACAGACAGACAGACAACTACTGAGAGACAGACAACCACTGAGAGACAGACAGACAACCACTGAGAGATAGACAGACAGACAACCACTGAGAGACAGATAGACAGACAGGCAGCCACTGAGGGAGAGACAGACAGACAACTACTGAGAGACAGACAGACAGACAGACAGACAGACAGACAGACAGACAGACAGACAGACAGACAGACAGACAGACAGACATACAACTACTGAAAGACAGACAGACAGACAGACAGACAACTACTGAGAGACAGACAGACAGACAGACAACTACTGAGAGACAGACAGACAGACAACCACTGAGAGACAGACAGACAACCACTGAGAGACAGACAGACAACCACTGAGAGACAGACAGACAGACAACCACTGAGAGACAGACAGACAGACAGACAGACAACCACTGAGAGACAGACAGACAACCACTGAGAGACAGACAGACAACCACTGAGAGACAGACAGATAGACAACCACTGAGAGACAGACAGACAGATAGACAACCACTGAGAGACAGGCAGACAGACAACCACTGAGAGACAGACAGACAGACAAGTATGACTCCACTTCTCTTCAGCACACCAAGGGTCTGGTTTGAGCTCGATTAGGTCACATCAAAGGAACTAATCTGCGTAAAATAGAGTCTGTATTGTGTGTCGATTACTCTGGACCAATGGTCATTTAGGTAGGTGAGAGGGCATAAGCGGAAATTGACATTGGCCTCCAGCAGGGCTGATCGGAAAGGGAGACACACACACACATAAACCCTAGCATCAGACCCAGGCAGTGTATTGTCCTTCCACATCCATGCAAGGGAAGTGTGAAAATAAAGCAAACAAGGCGTTATTTGGCCTCATCTGAAGCATCACACTAGACTGCGTCTGATTTGCCTCAGACCGGCTCACTGCCGAGGAAGGCCCAGCGTGAAATGAAATGAGTTGAATGTTTTTTTGTGTGTTCCTCTAAATGAAATGGGCCAGAAAACACCTTTAAAGAGAAACATTCATTTCGGAGAACACTGCTGCTGATCATAGCCTAACTTCCCTCTCCAAGTGTAATGAGCTATTTCTCATTTTGCCACCCTGTGTGCCACTACGAAAACATAGAAAGCCTTACAGTTTGTTTCCCACAACTTGGAAAATCGTTTAAAACTACACGGCTTTGTCCTCTACAACTGATAGAATCTGGTTGCTGTAAAGTGATTTGTATTTTTCATATTTATATTTTAGAGGGTTTGTTTGATTCACTGCCTATTGTGAAATAACTGCCCGTCGGGTGTTCTGGAGGATAATATTGATCTACACGTTATTCAAACAGTTTTGCAATATCTCTGTATTTGGCCGTTACTTCAGGTTTTCCTGATACCCCAGATGTGTGTAAAGAAGATTAAGGAGATTCTCTGGCTTTGCTGAAATAGCCCAAGTCCCAAATCCAAGGTATGAAGTTGCTGATCCTATTTGTGCCGTTGAAGGTTTCCTCTGATGTTAGCATTGCACAGCTGTGTGTGTGGGTGGGTGTGTGTAAGAAAAACAACACTGAAAATTACAGCACTGATCTGGTTTGACAGACTTCAATATTTCAGATTTATGTGTACACACATTCAGTAGATCCGTGGAAAGGATCTGCCACTTCTCACTTATGCAATACCAGTGAAGCCTTCCTATTGGGTTCTAATGTAACCGTCCCTCAAGTCTTACTACAGCCCACCATTGGTATGCCCTTTTTGTGGTGAGTGCGGCATTTCTGCTCTCTGGCCCTCTTCCACCTGTGGAACGGAGTTGTTCCTGGGAAGGGGTAAATAGCTCTCCCTAATCCCCAACCTGGCCTAATCCTGGAGGGTCACCCTTGACCCGGGAGTTCCTGTGGGGTGCAGTCACTCAGCGCAATGGGTTATTATTAGCCTGGACAGCTTTGCCCTCGACAGCTGCCCCTGCAGCCTGCAGAGTGACGATAACCCCCCCCTACAACTGGGCCAGCTAGTGCTAACACTACGCTATGCTACACTAGCTCTTCGGTTAGCTTTTCTTCCGTTTGCTTGCTGGCCGCTCTGCTGCAGAAGGTGACTTTCCCAAAGCCGGCCTCCATGGAGCTCAAGTGTGTCCTTGGTGCGTCTCCGTCTCGCTGCATGATAGCAGTGGCAGGCAAACAAAG